TGTGAATGAAAACTGAGAGAACTTCAAGGAAAAATAGACATCCATAATTATAGTTGGAGATTTTAGCATCTCTCTCAATAATTGATAGAACAATAGAAAATCAATAAGGTTAAAGAAAACTTGAATGGCATCATCAGCCAACTTGACCTAAAACATTTATAAAACGCTCTACCCAACAACAGCAGCATACATACTTTTTTTTTAAGTAAACATTAAACATTTACCAAAGTAGACCATATTCAGGACTATAAAAAAATTCTTCATGGATTTGGAAGAATTAAAATTGTACAAAGAAATTTTCTGATTACAGTGGAATCATATTAGAAATCAGTAACAGAAAGATACTTAGAAAACTACAAATATTAGGAAAGTAAACCATACTTTAAACAATCCATGAGTCAAAGAAGAAATCAAGAGGGAAGTAAAAAATTTTGAACTGACTGAGAATGAAAATAACAACATAGTAAAATTTGTAAAACACAGCCAAAGCAGTACTTAAAGGGAAATTTGTAGCACTAACCACCTCTATGCAAGAGAAAGAGCTGAATGACCTCTGCTTCGACCTTTAGAAAGTAGAAGTTCAAAGAATTTTAAATACCAAAAATCCATGAAACTAAAAGCTGATTTTTTTAAGAGTAATAAAATTGATAAACCTTGAGCCAGGCCAAAGGTTTGAGTAGATGCTGCAGAAGTGTGTGAAAAGATATTTAATGTAATTAATCATTTGGGAAAACCAGAGTGAGACAATACCACACACTCATTACAATGGCTACAGTTAAAACAACTCACCACGCTGATGAAGATGTAGTTAACTGGAACTCTCCAACAGTGCTTTTTGGGAGAAGTTCAGAAAATTCTTGGAAGTTAGACATGTTCCTCTTATAGGAAGGACCCAGTCATTCTGTTCCTTGGTATTTGTGCAAGAGAAACAAAAGCATATGTCCATCCCAAGATTTGACGTCAGTGTTGACAGCAGTCGTAATTTGTAATAGCTCCGAACCGGAAACAACCTGAATTGCTCCGAATGGGTGAATGGGTCAACAAGCTGTGGCTTTCCCGCCCACACAGGGGAGTACTACCTGGTAATACACGGGACACATTCCTGATACATACCTGGGAGTCGTCTGCAAATGATGGTGCTCCGTGAAGGGAGCCAGACAGGAGAGAGTAGGTGGTGTGATACCATTTATATACATCTCGAGAGATTGCACATTAACCCAGAGACAACCTCAGTCCAGTGTGACTGGGTAGGTTAGGTCGGAGGAGAAGGGAGCGAGGAGAAAGGGAGTGCAAGGAGACTGGGGGTGATGGTAGTGTTCCTTATCGTGATTATTGTGATCGGCTCCCAGGTATATACTTGTCAGAACTATTCAAATGGCTGCTTCAGATATTTTCAGCTTGTTGTACCTCAGTTCTACTTCAGTACAGGTATAAAATGATTTTTT